ACATCCTCAGCATAAATAGGGCAGCTGTAGGTGGGAGGTGGGCAGGCAGACCAAAACAACAGTAAGGCTGTTTAAATGCCTTCCTGAAGAACTGGTTCTTATCTCCACTGCTGTCTGAGCTCCTCCATGCTGTATATAGCCCAAAACATACAGCTGAAAACATATTTAAGGTAGACAGTGGCCAAATGCCTGTGTGGGGCCAGTAGCTGCACAGATTTTAACCAGCCTACTGTTTCAGGAGATCAAGAACTTCTCCTCTCATATCTGCTCCAGCACAAGTGGAGACTCCTACATCTAGGAAAAATGGACCTCAAACTGTTTGCAGCCCAGTACAAGTGTTGATCTGGCAAATATTGTAGTAACTTAAAGCTTTTGTAGTCCAACAGGTAGGGGTATTAAGAGGCTAATGATTTGCTTCTCTAGCACGCTTCCCTCTCCTGTACAAGCAGTGCACAATAAAAGGATGCTCATGCATTCATGCACACCTATACAGAACAAAAAGAGTTGCACACACGGAGCACAAGGTTTCCAGACACCGCTGGTCTCTACTTAACAAGTGAAAGCAGCAGCCTGTACAGCTCATGTTAAACACGGCTGTTCTCCTGAACTCACAGTTACTCACAAGCAACCCCATCTTCTCTGCTGCCTAAACACACAGCGTGCCACTCAAGAAGAATTCAGATGAATCACCGTTTTGAAGCTATTTTTGCATTTCCTGTTTCCCCCCGTGTGCAATAAAAGATCCTTCTATTAACTTGTAGCTTCAGCTAACGGTGAACGGAGCTCTACTTTTTAAGCATATGATGACCTCAAGACTGCTTAAGTACGTAGGAAAGCCAAGACTTAAGTCATATATGCTCCTTAATCAGTGAATACATCTGGAAGTCTCGGTCGTAATTCTGCTGTGTGTCAATTTTCCCATTAGCAAAGTGAGCACCACACCACCTCCTGTCTTAGAGGGCAGGGGTAAGACCCAGAGTGTTTACGAAATGGTCAGATGCTCTGGTGGGAACATTAAAACTCAAAAACATTTGAGAATTACTTTAGAGTAGATTATACCTAAAAAGCCAGCCAGCCTGCCTGCCTGCCTTCCTTCCTTCCTTCCTTCCTTCCTTCCTTCCTTCCTTCCTTCCTTCCTTCTTTCTTTCTTTTTCCCCTCAAATTCCAGTAAGTATAGGAGGAATAATTGAAGATAAAGCAGAAAATCTTGAATTCAGCACTCTCTAATCTTTCAGTGTTTGATTTTGCCATTATAGCGAACTTCTGCCTACATTTATTTGTCTCTAAAATAGAGAACTGGAGAACAAACAGATAATAAAGAATTATTAATATGGAGTTATGATTATTTCCATTCACCATACACTTGTTACCACTATCATACCTCAATGACTACAAAAAGCATATTAAATCAGCTCTGGCTGATACAGTCACTGTATTTAATTGGCAGTGTTGAGCAAAACTTGTGATTCAGAGCTGTGACAGAGAACCGTAAATATTCTGACCACATTCCATACACCGGCATTTCAGGCATCGTTTTTCAGTGGTCCCAAATTAGGCATTTTTTCCTGTGAGCTTTTTTTCCTGCTAGGCTGGCTGCAGGCACCGCTGGTTGGGCTGAAAGCCAACAAGAGTTTGCTGGCAAGCTTTGGAGCAGATGTAACTAACTCAGTGGCTGTGCGAGGACGTCGAGCAATAAAACTCCACTGATCTGCTCCTGTTGTTGGAGGATGAAGGAAAAAATGGTGGAGAAGGGAAGTGAAAGGGTTCCCAGAGCCTGACACGCAGTGTAGGTGTAATCAGAAATGTGATCCACAGCATCCCTGGGTGATGTTTTTTGGCAAGGAATGTTCCCCAGCCCATGAGCTGGCCTTTATCCATAAAGGCCTTCAGCCACAAAATCCCACAGCCAAATTCTTTACAGCTTTCTTCTTCTCAGGACCAGGCTTTGGCTCATCCTGCCTCCTGGCCCCTGCATTGCCCTGAATCATGATTACACTGTTTAGATTACTTTCCCCAAGGGTCCAGGCCCCTCCTTCTGCTGATCTAAAGACAATAAAAAAGGTCGTGTATAAGCCTATCTCTAATTCCTCTAGGGAAACAAAGCCAACAACAGGGAAAAAAAAAAAAAAAAAAAAAAAAAAAAAAAAAAAAAAAAAGGAAAAAAAGCTTATCAGGCCTTGAGTATGTTAACAATAAAATATCCCACAGGGTAAGCCACCCTCACACTCCCCAAATGCCCCTTGTCTGAATAAGTAAGTGGGTGGGAACCTTCTTACAGTTCATGAAGAGAGAAGAGAAGAGAAGAGAAGAGAAGAGAAGAGAAGAGAAGAGAAGAGAAGAGAAGAGAAGAGAAGAGAAGAGAAGAGGAGAGGAGAGGAGAGGAGAGGAGAGGAGAGGAGAGGAGAGGAGAGGAGAGGAGAGGAGAGGAGAGGAGAGGAGAGAGAGGAGAGAGAGGAGAGGAGAGGAGAGGAGAGGAGAGGAGAGGAGAGGGAGGAGAGGAGAGGAGAGGAGGAGAGGAGGAGAGGAGAGGAGAGGAGAGGAGAGGAGAGGAGAGGAGAGGAAGGAGAGAGGAGAGGAGAGGAGAGGAGAGGAGAGGAGAGAGGAGAGGAAGGAGAGAGGAGAGGAGAGGAGAGAGAGGAGAGGAGAGGAGAGGAGAGGAGAGGAGGGAGAGGAGAGGAGGAGGAGGAGAGGAGAGGAGAGGAGAGGAGAGGAGAGGAGAGGAGAGGAGAGGAGAGGAGAGAGCTTTATGCTGTCTCCCATCACCACCAATGACTTTCCTTGATTAGTTTAGTAATGTTAGTTATTTAGCTCAGCATTCACTTAAAACTGAGAACTCCATCTGAAGTGAAATGTCCAAATATGTAATTCTCAGCAGGGAAACGTCAGGATCAGTGGAAGGCGTAGCTCCTATTGCCAGGAGTGCAGGGCGCAGCCTATTACTTAACAAAGTAAGAATTTCAAGAGATCATTCTGAAATTAATTTATCTTTGGAGCCCTGAAAAACACTCTGTTTTGCAGTACCATACACAGAATTTATGAACTTTATTTATTCTTACCCCCACTTACCATTTACCATTCAGTTCCCCTCTTTTCCATCTTCCTGGTCCAACTCTCCACCCTTCTGTCCCATGCCACCAAAAACCAAACAAGGACAACAGGAGGCTCAAAAATGCATGCTTGAGGAACACTGAATCCTCCAGTGGAGGGGAATGGCAAACAAAAAATACCAGATATTAAAAAAGAGGGAAAAAATAGTCTAAATGGAAAGAAATTTGAGATTTGTAAGGCTAGGAATGAACTTTCTAAGTATAGAGACACAGTTTGCATCTCTAGCTGCTAGGAAAAAAAAAAAAAAAAAGAAAGAAAGAAAAAGAAAAAAAAAAGAAAAGAAAAGAAAAGAAAAAAAAATACACATTTTGGGACTCACAGGTCCTTCCTCAGATTTCCAACAGAGATGAAGCAGCAGCTGCATTACTTGGGTCATATAATGCTTTACTAAGGAGAAACTCAGTTACATCCTTGGGCATAGGATAAACTGATTTCTCTCATGTCTGCACTGCTTGAATCACAGTAGTGCACATGGTCAGCTCTACTCCTTTCAAGGAGGAAAGACCCCTTGAGTTTTACTGCCTGCAGAGCTCGATGCAAAGCTGGCTGCCAGGCACTGATGAAGCTGTTGACTCCCATGTGCTGCTTTCACGCTGTAATCAGTCCAAGAGTGCCTCTAACAGTTGTACAGCTGATGAGGAATCAAGGATGCTGTAATTTTTCAACCAGCACAGGGGTTGCTGGTTGAGCAGGGTGTTTGCAAACAACTGCAAGCTCGTTTCTGCACACCAGTGCAATACAAAGTTGCCTCGACACCCAAAATTCACTAAATCAGTTCTACACCAGCACGTGAGCTCTGCTGTCATTTAATCTGGGATAAATGGAGAGCAATGTCCCCTGCAGGCACCCTTTCCACAGGTTGAAGCTAGGATAAAAAAAAAAAAAGAGAGTTGGGACCACGGAATGAATTTTATTCCTTCTTGTAAGCACAAGCATTCGTCAGCAGCTTCTACTATCAGTTTCTATTGGCAGCAGTCATCTCAGCACCAGCACAGGGTGGGGACACGATGAGATGAGAGGTCAGGCTCGCTACCTGGCGTGCTGTCAGCACTTCCTGGACTTGAGCCACACCCCAGCAAGTGTTTGCAGCTCGACTGAGCTTCTATTCTTTGCTAGTGAGAGCTGCCCCCTTTTTGTATTAATTGCAAGATAAGTTTAGGCTTTTTTTTTTTTCCAATGAAAAAAAAAAAGTTTCCTCATTCATTCATTTTTGCAGATGTTCAAAGAGAGGCATTGTGCAAAGCAAGTGGGAAAGAGCTGGCAGAGGCTGGAGCTCTTGGTCTTAAGTCAGCCTGCGACAGCAGCTGGTTTCTGTGCTTCTGAAAAAGCTCTGAAGTTCCAAGAATTATGCTGAATTCTTCCCTGAAGCTGTGATTAATTAGCTCGAACTGTTCACGAGGCTGTCACTCCTTGCTTTGGAAACCAAGCAGATGATATCTGGTATAGAGGAATTGTCAAAACCACACCCTCTGAGACTTTCGTGTGCTGTGTGGTGTTAAACTGCACAGGCTAAACAGAGCATATTACAGGAACTGGTTTGTTTTCTGGGAGGAATTTCTACCAGTTTGGACCATTTGGACCATTGTTTCTCATATTAATAACAAGAGAAGGAAAGCCAAGCAGGAAACAAGCTGTATGCCTGCTTTTAACACCACATACGTGACAGAGGACATCTTCACCTGAGTTGTTAAGAAGTACCTCAGCAGACAGCATCATCCTGTAAACGTGCTGAAGGTGCAGTGGAGAAGGATGCTTGGCTCAGGAGTTGTGACTTGGAAATAAATAAGTAAATAAATAAAGCACTTGGGGTTAAAGATTTTTTGGGAATTACTTACTGACTTTTAAAATTAAATAAAACATGTATGCATACATCACAAAAGACACCAGAATACTTCACATTGTTATATATTTTTTTTAATAAATTATAAAAAACATATTTACAGTCAGAAGATAGCCCAGATCTAAATCTCCCCTCTTGTAGTTTAAAAACATTCCCCCTTGTCCTGTCATTATCAGCCTGAGTAAGAAGTTGCTTCCCACCTGTTTTAAAAGCCCTCATTAAGTACTGAAAGGCTTCAAAGAGGTCTCCTCAGAGCCTTCCAGGCTGAACACCCCCAGCTCTCTCAGCCTTTCTCCATAGAAGAGGCGCTCCAGCCCTCTGACCATCTTTGTCAAGCTTTTCATCCACCAGCACTCCCTGGTCTTCTGTAGGGCTGTTCTCAATGAGTTCTTCTCCCAGTCTGTCCTCGTGTCTGGGCTTGCCCTGACCCAGGTGCAGCACCTTGCAGTTGGACGTGTTGAACCATATTAAGTTCTCAAGTTTGTCCAGGTCCCTTTGGATGGCTTCCCTTCCTTCTGTTGTATCAACTGCACCACTCAGCCTGGTGATCGTAGACCCCCTTCATACCCTTAGTAACTAATAATGCGGTTTCAGTACCAGTAAAAGCACACAGGAGGAGCTTAAAAGTCCTGCAGAGCTTGTCAACAAACACACATTTGTCAACAGGCTGGCCAACTTCACGAGGAAAGCTCTAAAATAGGAATGATGGCAAGGGAGCTCACAACCCACAGTTAGGTAGTACTGGACAGGGGTCCAAAGTAAAAGATACAGGGTGACTGGAACCTTAGAAGGCAAAAAAATGAAAAAAAAGGGGCAAAAGGAGGCCCATCTCAAAGGCACATACACAAATGTGTGCAGTATGGAAAGCAAGTAGGAAGAACTAGTCTTCCATGCAAGTTTTAGATATATATATACACACACACACATACATATATAAAAATATACACACACACACATAATTTAGGAACACTGATGATTCAGGTAAGGATGCTTCCAGGAAAGCCAAAACTCAACTATATCTGAGACTTGCAAAGGACATCAACAAGAGCAGGATCTGCTGCTGTATTAACTGTAATCGAGCAAACAAGGAAAGTGTGGACCCATTCCTGAATCCAGGTGGGTGATTTAGGGATATTGGACAGAGAAGACTTAGTTAATACCTTTCTTGCCTCATCTTCATTAACAAGATTTCATAGGCTCTGAGCTTAGGCAAAGGGTTCAGGAAAAACCACCATCAGTCAGGGATTACCTGAGAACTTGATCCACACCAGTCCACAGGACTTTGATCAGATGTGCTCAAGGGTGCCGTGAGAGCTTGTTGATGTCACTCTGAAAGTGTTATCATCACTGGCCATGGCTATCAGGGAAGTCCCCGACAACTAGAAAAAATGAAAATGTTGCATCCATCTTCAAAGAGGCCCAAAAGGTCAACCTAGGAACCTACAGTCTCCTTTGCAGCCCTGGGAGAACCAGGTAGGTGGTTCTTTTGGGACACATTTCTGGGTTTGTGAAGAAAAATGAGCTGGGAAGAGCCAGTTTATATTTGCCAAGGGTAAATTGTTTCTAACCTATCTGACTGCCTTCTATGACGATGAAATAAGTAGATTTCACAGAATCACAGAATGGCTGGAGTTGGAAGGGACCTCTGGAGATCACCTGGTCCAACCCCCCTGTTAGGTGGGACCACCTAGAGCACATTGTGCAGGATGGCATCCAGGTGAGTTCTGAATATCTCCAGAGAAGGAAACCCCACAACCTCTCTGGGCAGCCTGTCCCAGTGCTCTGTCAACCTCGCAGTGAAAAAGTGCCCCTCATATTCAGCCAGAACCTCCTGTGCTTTAGTTTGTGCCCGTTGCCTCTCATCCTGCTGCTGGGCACAACCGAAAAGAGACCAGCTCCTTCCTCTCAACACCCTCCCCTCAGATATTTACACACATTGATGAGGTCTCCCCTCAGCCTTCTCTTTTCCAGGCTAAACAGGCCCAGCTCTCTCAGCCTGTCCTCATATAATAGGTGCTTAGCCATAAGTCACTAACCTGAAGTTACTGAGGAGCAGCTGGGTACACTTGATTTATTCAGTTTAGAGAAGACTGAGGGGTGACCTCTTTGCTGTCTACAATGTCCCCATGAGGGGGTAGTAGAGAGGGAGGTGATGATCTCTCTGGTGACCAGTGGTAAGACATCAAGCTGTGTCAGGGGAACTTCAGATTGGTTATTAGGAAAAGGTTCTTTACTGAGAGGGTGGTCAAGCACTGGGACAGGGTCCCCAGGGAAGCATTCATGGCCCCAAGCCTGTCAGTGATCAAGAAACATTTGGACAACACTCTTAAATATATGGTTTAATTCTTAGGTTGCACTGTGCGGAGCCAGGATTTGGACTCTATGTTCCCCGTGGGTCCCTCCCAGCTCAGGATATTCTCCAATTTCGTGATTATTCCCCTCCACTCAGCATTCACTAGACTGCATTTGGTGTGGTACATCCAGTTTTTGTCCCCTTCAACAAGACATCAGTCAAATTCAGTGAAGACTGACCAAGGTGGTCAGAGGGTTAGAGCATTTGCACTGTGAGGAGTAATTTGCACCTGCAGAAGAGTAAGCTTTAGGGGGTAAATAACAGCAGCTTTCCCACACCTACAAGATGATCAAGTAGATGGTGACAGGTTTGTTTTTTTTTTTTTTTTTTAGCAATACCTGGTGGGAAGACAAGAGATAATGGACACAAGTTGAAACAACAGAGATTCAGACTGGATATAAGGAAATAGTTTTTCCACCACGGAAAGCCAGACAATGAAAAGGGTTGACAGAGAGGCTGTACAGTCTCCATCTTTGCAAGTTTTCAAGACCAGACTAGGTGAAGCAGAGTAACTTAGTCTCAATTCAGTGCTGACCCAGGTTTAAGCAGGAGTTTGCACTACATCAACTCCTGAGGTCCCATCAAACTTAAAATTTTCCCTATAATTTCTAATACTGCTATAGGCTCCTTTCTGTTGACAGTCTTCTCACCACCTTATTCGTAAACTTGAGGACTGAACATTGCACCACGCAGGACTGATTCATTAAACATGACTGCAGGAACCAAAAGCAGACAGAGAGATTTGATCAACTATTTGGCTCGAGCATTACACAGACAAGGCAACATAGCAGAACTCAGCAATATGCCAGAATCTCTTCCACTTCTGGATGACTACAGGTCGAAGTCTTGAGTAATACTCAATTACTAACAGCATGGATGTTCCTACACCACTACACGGGGGATAATTTGATCTCTGCCCTGCAATAAATGCTCGGTCCAATAAGGAAGACAAAAGAGAACTTTCTGATTTTTGGTTATGACTAAGAAACCTAATCGATTATTTACATATGCCCATTTCAAAATCAACTGCAATGGTTTTCAAAATGCAATAAACACATCCAGCCTGCAGCATTCATGAAACATGCTTCACAGGTTGATGATTTGAAAACACGAATACATGGTATTCTTTTCCTCTTTGTTTCTTTTTGAGCTTCAGTATTTGTATGAGCTCAGTTTTCAAGTTTTAGTTTGCTCATGGCTGGAGACAAAAGCATGTTAGTATTCTTTAGAAATGGATAGACTGACATTCTACTAGAATAATGTGAAGCAGCAGTTAAGACATAAAAGAACCCCCCAAAAAGCTGAAAGTGCAAAGAATATCAGAAGTTCAAGGTCAAAAAATACAAAACAGTGCTAATAGAGGCAGCTTTGTTCTAATGCGAGAATAAATTGAGTTGTAGCTCTGTCTTAAAGATAACCACCACTGGAAATGATCACAGCTTGCCAGTCTTCCGTTGACTCCAAGACATAATTTTCTTTGAGAATACTTATCTGTATCACTGAGTTCCTGCTGGGGAACCCAAACTAGCAAGTTCCAATTGCGATCCATCTGGAACTTCTGAGGAATGAACCATCTTTCTTCTGACTGTAAAATACACTGATCCAGTAGTTGCACAGAAAGCTAATTAGTTTTTGATATATATATGTTTGAACGTGCATAAATAGACCTTCTTTAGTATCTAAAAGGCACTTCAACAGGTTGTTCTTGATGATTTTTCAAAGTCTCTTCCAGCCTGGGCTCTTTGATAGTGCTACACAACAGGTATAAAAAAATCCTTGGCCGTGTTTTTGTTAGTAGATGCTCTTCATTTAAAAACTGATACAAAACTGTATAGTAGAGATTGCTGCTCACGACTCAGGCTGTTTATCTTCATGCAGCATGAAGAAAAGGAGGTTATCCATTACGAGGGAAGAAAACCAGGCAGTTTTTCCTCAGTTCAACTAGCCTTCAAAACATTTCTTTGCAGATGACTTCAGTACTTCTGGAAAACCTCCAAGAGGAATGATAGTGGTCTTCCCCCGTTGAATTCTCTCCCATTAGGTCAAAACATTGTTTGGTCCACAAGTCAATTATTTGTGGCGTTTGATTCTGGAACAAAAAAAAACAAAACAAAAAAAACAAGTATTATGTCTTCTCTTCTTGAAATTGTACAAGTTATACAAGAACGCTGCAGGTTTTAAACACTAATACAGCATGATGGTGAATTAAGACATTGCTGCATGATCCTAAACAATCCAGTTACAGCAGCTTTTTGACCCATGGTTATCTGGTAGGCACCAGCCACTTACCACACACAATAATTTGTTTAAGCTTAGAGATGCTGCTTAACAACTGGAGCAGGTTAAGAACATTCACCAGTTATTGCCAGCCATCTGCTAAGCAGCTTGCAACCTGCAAGCCCATTCTCACTCCGTGACTTTGGATCAGATAACTATGCCCCTACGATACCACTTTTACACAAAGATTTAGGTTTATGGTCTTTATACCAGCTGTGTACAACACATCCATGCAACGCTGCTGCTATTCTTTCCATGTGGTAATGGCAGGTGCTTTTGGAGGCATGAGGTTTTGCTTGTTTGCTTTGTTTTGCATTTCTGATGAATAAACAGAGAGAGTTCTCATTTGACAAGCAGGGAAACTGAAGACAAAGTGAAGTTACAGTGCAGGAAGTTACAATCCAGGAAGTTCAAGGCTACATGCTCAGCCTAATTCACTGCATGCAACAGGCATCAACCTATAACCAGGCTGATTTTAAACAATGCATACACAAGGTCCTCTTACATCAGTGTTTCCCTGATGGTGCACACACAGCAAGAGTGCAAGGGAAATCACCTGGACATGCCAAGGCACTATGCAACTCAGTCTTTGCTCCAGTTATCACAGCATTACTTCTCTCTTCCAGCAGTCTCTAGCTCAGCATCACTCCAGCCTAGGACAAGATGCCTGGAAGCAGTCTAGGAGAGCATCACATGGTGACACATGGCAATCCTCTCAATAGAGGATAAGAAGAAAGATAACCCTAGTCTGGATCTCACAGGGCTCCCGGATGGATATGAAATATTTTTATGGCTTGTATCCTTAAAGTCCAAGCAGGGTAACTGTCTTACCTGTGGCTGACTTACACCAGCTTGATTACAAAACTAAGGAGAGTGATAGAGGAGCCATTTTGTTGTTTGTTTTTGGGGCGGAGGGGGGAGCAGCTATTTGCTTATATCTGTGCAGTGAGGAGGCTTGAGTATGAAATTGCTTTTCTCTTCCCATTTTATAGCTGTGCTGACAGGCAACAGGCTTCACACTCCCCACGCAACATGTAAAAAGTGTCACACAGCTTGCAAACAACGCCGAGAACAGCACGGCTACTTCTGATGTCTTCCTCTGTTGTGGCACGCAGCAAAACGCATGACACAACAAAAACATTACGTCAGATGAGAAGTCTTTAAGCATGACCTAGAAGCACAGCACAGAGAAGTAGGTGCCCTTTCAAAGCAGCACGTAACGTAGCCCTGCCATTATACACCAACTACTTCATTTGGTCTTCACTATTTCTTCACTGGCAACTCACAGGATCCAACTGAGTTATTCCAAGACAGCACAGCTTCCTCTCCAGTAACACAGCCCTGTTTCAAGCCTGCTTCCTTGTTTCACGCCTGTTTCCTTGTCAGTTTCTTTTGCATCACAGAAACAATTTTCTTATCCTCATTCCTACTTACTGAGTATCTACGTCAGTGGTCTCCAAAGTAGGGTGCACCTAGGGGGTGCAACACAAACCACTGTGATGTAGAAACAAAATATTTTTGTGCCATTAATAAGTAAATATGCATATATTGGGGGCATGTGCTCAAGCTATTTTACTGATAGGATTCATAATCAAAAAGAGGTTTGGAGAACACTGCTCTACATCTCGAAAAGAAGAAGCCAGCATGAAACACCCACATCTGTAACTCTTAACCAAGGGCTATACGACAGACAGAACAATGTTCTTCCTTTTCTCCTGAGGAAATGAAAATTATTTTCAGTCAATCTGCAAATTTATCTTATTTCCAAACAGAAATGCTTCAATTCACACTGGCATATAGTGTGCATTTCATAAAAGCTTTCAGAACACTTTTCAAACATTTAAGTCAGATTTAAAATTTCAAATCAAAAAATTTCTGGTGTCCCAGCTAATAAATTTGAAAACAAAACCTTTAATTTCACAAATTTCAAAACATTTTTTTCCATCCATTCCTTTTTTCCCCTCACCCAGTTTGCTATAGCTGACCTAATTCCACGTGCATCCAAAATTATTTTTTAAGAGACATTTTATTTGTCACGTGCTTTTTAACTAGTTCTGTGTAGAACCACCAGCACTATCAAAGGCTTAAGCTCTATGACAACAGTCCATGATCTCTGCCACCAGGCTGATTCTCAGTTAAACTGTGGCTGTCCTACAGCATGCTGAAAGCACAGCAAAGCTTTATAGTGTGAGAAAGTAACCGTTCAATGCTGTTATTTTATGCATATGCTGGTGGCCTGCTATCACTACAACAGCCCCCCACACACCTCTTGCCTTCCCTCCCTCCTTCCCTTTGCATCCATCACTGACCAGTGCCCCATCTCCTCCAGTATGCTACCCCAGTGCTTACCAAAGCCCTTTATGATCAGATTTAGCCTGTTAACCTAGCAGAAGATTTGTTTTCCTGTTGGGTCAATTTCCTGCTAACATGGCTCAGAGAGGCGTGTGATAAACATCAGAGTAGGCCCAAGGAGCAAGACTTCCCCTTTTGGGGACAGTAAGCTGCTAGATTGGCTCAGCCCATCCGATCAGTTATAGTCTACATGGAAAAATTTTCACCCATCAGAACTGATAATTGATTATAGGACTTAACTAACTCAAGCAGTATGAAACTGTAAGAAACGTTGCATCGTTGCTGTCTAAATTTCACTAATAAGATGTAGCATTGATCAACTATTTCCCCGTGCAGAGTAATAACCAGCTTTCTCTTTCCACGTATAAGGTTCTCAGGCTCACTAGCCTGTCTACTTTGAAGAGCTTTCCTACCACAGCCTTGTTTAAAAACAAGTACAAACCACAAGAAAAACACAGGTTAAGTAAGCTCAGCATTCTTTATGAGAAAAGAAAATGCACCTGCATGCCCAAGCAATAAGTTGTCACCCCTCCCCATGAGTCTCACGCTCAGACAATCCCAGAGCTCCCCCTACTCCCCAAGGATGGAACAAGAGTAACACCGAGACCTGGGCCATTAACAGTCAGCAACAATAACAGCCCTGACCAACAGTTTCCACGTGGACAGCACAAAACACATCCCCCTCTTACCTGGCTCCTCCACAGTGTCCTCATGTCCCCTTCCAGATGCTGCAAAGGCCAAGCACAGAACACACTCAGAAACCCACGGCACCACCCATAACTTCACATCCAGAAACGCAATGGAGGGAAACTAAAGCCCAGAGAAGGTACTTGCTCAGTGCTATGTAACAGACACAAGGATCCAGGTCTTTTCAACTTCTCATCTAGTGATTTACCCACCAACATTTACTGTTGCTAAGGGAACAAGTCTGTCTAGGCCACCAGGGGAATGGAAATCTCTGCACTGAGGACATGGTAGTATGTTTTAGACTGTCAAAGGCCACACGCAAAATTAATTCCCCCCTTGTGTTGCCCTGTTTTAAGGCACCATCACACTCCTTACCTCCTTCTGTCTCTTCTTCCACAGTGTCAGAAGGTTGTATAGATGCAGCTGCAGGTAAACAGAAACATGCGTGGATGAAGCACAACAGTTTGCAAAATATGCAACTCTACTTTAAACTGACAGTTTCACTAGTTACAGAACAAATACAGCATATTCTCCAGATGATTCGTACGTTAAACCTGTATTGAAGGCTTTGCAATTAATTTTAACTTCCCACCAGCAATCACTTCGGTTCCTAAACCATAATCTGCATTATGTATCTGTTTACAGCTTTACAAAATCTTTCTGCAGTGGGTTTACTTAAAATGATTAAGCTGCACAGACTCACCATAAGAAACCAGACAACTGAGAAGAGAACCCACATCTCCTTTCTTTACTTCATAGATGTGTCACACTAACACTGTGACTTTCTCTTTGCAGACTAATTGAAATGTGGGTACGTTTAAGCGTACTGGCAAAAGAATGTTTTTGTTTGTTTGTTATTTAAAATCTTTTTCATCTTCTTGAAACCCACCAGTAGTAGTTTCTGAACTTCAGAGATGTCTGGACCACAGGCTAGAACCATAGCTCTAACAAACATATGAAAATATCAAAAGGAAATTATTTATCTTAAATCCTGATGACAAGATCTTTGAACTTTGACTTGCCCAGGGGAAAAACAAAAACAAACAAAAAATACCCCCAAACCCTGTTTTCACGGCACTGCCTCCTTACCTACGTTATCATTTCCAGGCCTACCACCATTTGCTTCACTTTTGTCTTCCTCCCCATCTGTAAAAGCATTGACATAAGAAATTAAACATATAGAACATTTCTTCAAAAGGTGACACGGTAGTTTACAACCCAAGAAACATCCTGCCTCAGCCTTGTATTAATTTCAGCACCTCGTGTAAGATACCAGACTGAGAACCCCACGTGCAACCCCTGTTCATTCTACTCCAGAACAGTCCAGAAGGACGCTGAACTCACAGCTGATGGCTAGAAATTCCTCGCTGAGAAAGATTTGGTCTGGTGACCTCTGTAACAAAGGATTTTTGAGTCTTCCCTTGTATGCCCTCGTGATCCAGACTATGATGATCTAGTCTGGTTCATAGGAACAGACATACATAGGAACAGACCACAGTGGTCCTAGCACTAAGATGCATATTGTGAAAGAACAGACGAAGGAGTTGTCCCCTTCCTTAGGGGATCACTGTACAGAGTTTCCCAATCCCTGATGCACACAGCCACAAACCAGGGAACTCAACAGTGTCATTGCTTGCTGTAAATTAAAGAAAAAAAGTTAGAAAATGAAAAGCAGGATTAGAATGGACAGCAGGCACATAAGTAAAGATCTGGACAGGAATACAGACAATGCTGAGAATCTGTACTTCCTGCAGAAGGGCATTGTGTAAAGAAATTAGGGATGGACAGCAGACTGGTAACTAATGGAAAGAGGTGAGAAGCTCCTTCACCGACTTTCTCCTTGCCTCATCTTGGCTGTTACAAGAAGACAGGCATGCAAAAACATGCGTAGAAGTTTATCAAAAGGCACTGTTAACAGATTTTTTTTTTTTTTTTTCCTGAAACAACCAGAAGGGATTAGAGAAAGAAAAAGAGACCATTGCAATTTGGCCCACAGGAGATAAGCATGCACCGTAGTCTTTCCTTCAGCACAACAGAAGCAAGGATCAGGCAGTTCTGCACAACCGACTAGCAACATATACATCTTCACCAGTGCTTAGATGGGTTTTCAAGATATAACCAAGGTAAACTAACAGCAAACTGAAACAAAAAGTTTATATAAAAGGGGCAGGCAGATAAGATTAAACGAGACAGAAGAAAAACCATCCTCGTTTCAGCACACAAACCAGCTCTAATCAACCAGGCAAAAAGACTGCTTTATAGCATGCAAGTTTCCATCCCTCATGCTGAGGCCAGCCCCCAGTCTCCATTGTCAGAAACAAAATTCACCCCCAGAGAGAGCTGCTGACCAGGCAACTCTCAGGCTGCTTCCTGTCGGTAATTCTGCCAGCCCCACTAACTCCTACACCAAGTGCAAAGCGATTATCTGCTGCTGGACCTCAACTGAGGCTTTGAGGTTGAGCGTGCTTACACTGAAATTCACCTCAAAAACATATACGTGGCAAAAAAGGAAAGAGCAGATCACACTCCTTATTACAACCAACAGGTGATGTGAAAAAGAAAAGTTAAAAAAAAAAAAGCAGCACTAAAGCGCAGAAGTATTTCTAGTAAGAAATATTTGTGGACTGTTAATTGCAATGACCTGAAATGGGTTTCTTACCTATGTTTTTGTCTCCAAGTAGATGATCTGCTCCTATAATAAAAATATATATGTATTTTGAACATGTATTGATGACCTGTAGAAAAACATCTATAATTTGTTAAACAGCTAAGGCCTATAAGAAAACTTACTTCTTTATCTGTCAAGTGAAAGACTATGCTGCTACAAAAAAAAGCTGTCAAGTTGGGACTAAATTAAAGCAGTAGTCTTATTTCTAAACATGTGTGACAATTCAGCTCTCTTACCTGGAGCATTCGTCTGATCAGCTCCTCCTGTTCCACAGTTAGCTTTTTCTGCACCAAAAAAAAAAAAAGAGGAAAATATCTGGAGATATATCACATGGAATTACAGTTTTGTGCTTTTGGACACTAGCTGACAGCCTCCATCCCCCAAAATGAGGCACAGCAAGTTTATTTTCTAGAATTGTCAAGAGAAGCATGGTCAAGCCTTTGTTGTTTCAAGGGAAAACAGATGAACTGTTTCAAGTCTAATTGATGGCAGGTATGAGTGACACCCCTCATGAGTTGATATCAAGCATAGTATTGTTTAACATCAACAATATGGACAAGGGCACAGAAGGCAGCCTCAGCAAATTTGCAGTTGACATCAAACTGGGGAGAGTAGGAGATATGCTGGAGGGCAGGGCTGCCACTGAGAGGGCTTTCAACAACCTGGAGGAACACGCTGGCCAAAAGCAACTGTGTAGTTGTGCATCTGTTGAAATCACCCCATGGGAAAGTACCTCATTAGCTCTACCTGGCTGGAAAACATCTCTGCAGAAAAGAACCCAGACCTGCTGAATAACAGAGCTGGACATCAGTCAGCAACGTGCACGTGCAGCAAGAGTCTACCATATACTGGTCTACCGCATGCTCATCTGAGAAAAATATGCAAGTACAAACTAGTGTTTCCCAGTACACCAAGCCTAGCAGCTGAGTGCAGCAAAGTTCAGTATATTAGCTCCTTTAAATTTACTAGTCTTTGTCTAAGCTGTACTTGTTTCTGCTACTGCAATCACAATACATCCCATGGTCAGAAACTTTCATACGTTCTACAGAACTTAGATCAGTGTAATCTCAAAGCACGTTGGGCTCAGCTAAGAAATGCCATACATACTTCTGAACATGTATATTAGCCCAGCTCCAACGAAGAGAAAGGCAACAACGGCAATAATAAGCCCTGGTCTGCTTCTTTTTGGAGAACTGTATCCTTTAAAAAAGCAAAATAAATTATGATTGATTAGTTAAAATGCAACATTTTAAGGTGATGCACATCTCAGTAGAAATAATATCCCACGTACATTTTATAGCTATTTAATTTTTAAAACGTAAGCCCAAGAAGTTAATGCTCCAGATTTAGTTACCAGCAAAACCCTAAGCCAGCTCCAGAAAAGTCACATGGTAACTAACTCAGTTCAGTGAAAGCACATCATCACGTGGAAGGTGATGGCTCAGTTCTAGGACCAGTTCTGTGGAGGCTGAGAGGCAACCCCACGGCTCTCTGCAACTCCCTGAGGAGGGGAAGCACAGAGGAGGTGCAGCCTCTGCTCCTGTCACCGATGATGGGATGCATGGGAAAGACACAATGCTGCGCCAGGGGAGGGTCAGACTGGACGTTAAGGAAAATGTATTTCCCCTGAGTGGTCAAACACTGGAGCAGACTTCCTAGAGAGGTGGTTGTGCCCCATGGCTGTCAGTGTTTGATAGGCATTTGAACAATGCCCTTTGTAATGTTTTAGCTTCTGGTTAGCCCTGAAGGGGTCAGGCAGTTGGACGAGATGATTTTTGTAGGTCCCTTCCAACTGAACTATTCTATTCTCCAGGCATCTCCCTCTATCACTCATTTCAAGTCAAAGCTGAAGGTTTTATTTTACTGAGATCCCTACAAGATGCATCTTTCCAGGGGGATCAAACTATCAACATAGTACCTTACGACAACCTTTAAACACACTTGTAGCAGACAAAAGGCTTCTGATGCTTTTTAGTCTTTCAATTCAACTTTCTGAGAAGTCGAGAGAAATCTTACAGTCAAAATCCATGCTATTTTCCAATTCAGCCTCTTAGAATTGCATATACAACCCGACCCATTACCTTGATAAGTTGGAGAACACTGATCCAAAGTGATTTCGGAGCTCTTACTAACTTCGAAGTATGTAACGATACATGTAGCTTTTCCCCCAGTATCAACATTCTCTTTAGGGATCAAAACCTTCGGGCCCGTGGAAGTTTCCCTGCCAGTGATCTTCCAAACATAACTCAGAGGCCCCTGGAAATTTGCTTCACATGTTAGCATTAAGTTGTCATCACTCAAGCTGCAATTTATTTGAGGCTCAGAAGGGGCATCTGAAAGGAGAGAAAACGTGTTGTATTACTTTGGTTGCACACTGCCTTGAGTTTTAGCACAGGACAAGGGTTGGAGCGATATTAGCAGCAGAAAAGCATATAGATAAAAATGCTTTTTTTTGAGGGGAGCACGTGTGCGTAAGAGGAATGTATTTCTGAAAGTGGCCCTGTTCCTGGTTCTTCAGTGCCTAGGTTTGATGCTCCTCGTGGTTCATTGTCAGTAGGTTTAATATACACACTAGTCAATCATCTTTCCCAAAGACGACTAGTGAGGCTGCGCAGATCGGCACAGTACAACGTCACAAATATTTAAAGATACAACATGCCCGCAGGAGCATCTTTAGTAGAGGCATACTGCTTAGGGCAACTTGGTCAGCTTGCTCAGAGAGCTTGATTTTCTCTCCGAAACCACACGGCGTGCCACCCACCCACATTGTGAACACCACGCCAAGGTAAGCAATGATGGGCACAGCGTCGATGCCACCTTTGAAAATTTGTTTAAAGTGTCTCAGCAGCTTAACAACGGAGACAAACAGTCCCCCACTCTCTCTGTTTGCTTCTCTGCCAAATAAGCACTCCGCTTTCTAGCCTTCTTAAAAGGGAACAAAGCGGTGCAGTTCTTTGTGCAGTTCGTCCATACTTACCTAACACGGTAAGCTTAAATGTAAAGACACCATTTTCTTTATGACTAGAAAAACGTTCTAATTCGTATGTTCCACTATCACTGTTCTCCAGTTTAAATATGGTCAAGTTCCCACTCTCCTTGTTAAGCAAGCTTCTACTCCGGAGGGAATTAAAATACGTTGGTTCGCTTTGCGCTTCCCATTCAGCCACTTTGTCTTTGTCTTTTGTCCAAATAACTTCGTCTATTTTATTGTCTGCTTTTACTGGAAAAGTAAAATTTTCTCCCAAAATGCCAAACACTTTCTCTTCACAGTAGATATGTGCTATAGGGGAAAAAAAAAAAAAGAAAAAAGTTGCTTTAACATTTTTTTAATAAACTATTACTTGACCAATGCTGTACGCACTGTTACATTTCAATTTATCATAAAATTCAAACTGAGGTTAAAAGCACATCTTTTGCACATAAAAAGCACATAGTTTTGCAAAGTATGTATTAGTTAAGAATTACCCAAAGCCAGCCCGTCTTCACAACCATATGATAAGCATTAGAAATGGATCCAAATCCCACACCCTAACCTCAGGTATAGTCATTGTCCCGGTCTCCTTCCTTATCCTAAGCTCCTGTATGTTTAGTACCTTCCGTCTGTTCATCTGAGTTAAGCCTCCTGCCCATGGTCCGGTGAAAGAGATAAGATGAAGAATTGTCGCCAGTGAAATCTGTCTCAGCATCTTGTTGCTGACAGCTTAGACTGGCAGCTCTTAAAATCACAAGACTACACTGCCGTGGCAGAAATGCATGTCCATATAGATAAAAACAAGTCAACAGTCAGATCGAGCTATGCTTGAATGAAGGACACAGATTGATGGCATGAATACTTCGTAGTGCTCATAAATCAAGGCAGACACTGCGGCTTTATTGCATCAAAAGAGCAGATCTCTTCCCTTCACTGCGTAGGAGCCCAGAAAGCAAGTCGTGACCCATCTTGCTCCGCATCTTATCTCATCTTATCTCCTTTCCAAACAAAAACAAAGGAGGTCAGCCAGGCCAGTCCTCAAGAAGACTGGGTTTCCAGCTGCTGAAGAGCAGTGCTCACCAGTGTATTGTGTGTCCTGCTCCTCTGCCTGCAGCCACACCAGGGAATCAAGGACTTTCTCCGACAGGAGGTGGAAGGCAAGAAATGGGAAAGGCATTTCTATGCGCTTGGGTAGAGAACTGCAGACACAGAAGGTATTCCCTGTGCCTTTCTTCTCGTGGACCACCCAATTTGTTTGCAATTCACCCATGAATGTACTCTTCTCACGCTATTAGTTCCTACTGCTCGCTATCTGCACCTGTGCTATGGTGTTTTCCAAGCACAGGAACTGGAAAATTATGCAGAGTAAGGAGGGCTCAGGTATCACTTCCACTCCTTTTTAACACAACCCACCTCTCTTTCTTTGTCTTCTGTCCCATTCAGGCTGATACCAACATCTCATTTGCTCCCACTGCTCCAGCACAAGCACTTCTATTCACCCACCTCAGTTATCAACCTCCAGAGAAGAAGAACCCAAGAGCCCCAAAATTTGTGTTTGGAGAGCCCAAGAAGACAGGCTGTTGAAGCACTGTCGTGACCCGAGGAAGCCTGGAGTCTTGCTCAAGACTCTTGTTTTATACAGACCATTTCTGCAATCGCCTTTTCCTCAAGAAGTCCTCTCTCACCGCCTAGGGAGAAGGAGAAGAAGTGGAGAAGTCCCTGCTCTAGCCACTGGGAAATTCTGCTTCTTGATAAGAGACACGGTCAAGCTGTGGTGGCCCAACACTGCAGCACGCACACGCCGAGGCACGGTGGCTGCTGACAACAGCAAGCTAACACAGCTCTTTTTTTGGGGAGCAAAGCAGCCGCTTGCTGGGGGCACGGGGCGTGAGCAAGGACTTATTTTTATAATAGCAAGAATTTTCAGTTCCTCACCCCTCTTCCACTTGCACCTCGTAGATCCCTCAGCTCCCCCTCAGTTTCCTCCCCAAGCCTCTTCCACTCCCCGTGTCCTCGTATTATTTCTCCAGGCTTCCTCCTCCTCCTCCCCATCACGGTCACTGCCACTATGCACTTGTGCATTAGGTCTGCTTGGGACAGGCAGAAATTTCTTCACAGCATCCCAAATACTAGGTTTGGGACCAAAAGAGTGCTGATAAAACATCGGTGTGTGTTAACTGTTGCAAAACAGCACTTGCACAACCAGAAACCTCCCTTCTCACTTTCTCTGCATCATCTGGGGCTTCCTGTCCCCCCTTATTTTTTTCCTTTATTTACTAAGTTGTCTTTATCTCATCTCGTGCGTCTTTCTTGCTTTTGCCCTTTTGGTTCTCTGCCCCATACCACTGAGGTGGAGTGAGCAAGCAACTGCGTGGGGGCTCCGCCACTTTCAGATCCCTACCCATCTCTGACTCATCTCTGGTAAGGCAGCTGGAAACTTCAAGTTTTACCCTTGAATTCAGGACAGGATCTGATCCAGAACTGCACAGCCCGGGTCTGTGTCTTCAAAGATCTGAAATCCAACAGGGATATCGACTGTGCAGCTGCAGGAAGTTTTCTCATCTTGAAAACTTTTGCTCTTGATACAAGAGTAAGGAGATGCTTCTAAATAAATGTCTTTTTCAGAAGTATCCTCGAGGCTACATTTCCAAGCTGGAAAGGATATTCCTTCTCTGTGAAGGCATGGACTCTTATTTTTGTGGTAACTTCTCTTTTTGCCAAAAGTGTTACTTATTCCTGCAGAAGCCTGTTTGTTCTGCACTAAACAAACCTATCGATAAAAATACTCCATCTTCATCCAGATGTCTTTCAACAGACATTCACCATGGCCAAAACAGCAGGTGCCAGCGAGAGCAAGGCATCCACGAAGTCACCAGCTCCAGCACCCTGCAGCCACGCGGTGCGGTGGTTAATGCCGTGCTCGCACCCGGCAATGCAACAGGGAGGGGAAAATCCTGGTGTAAGGGCCCAGAAACACATGGCACGATTAGCAATCCTCGCCTACTCGTGGTTCTCACCGTGGCCCTGGCTCACAGGGAGTTTTCACTTCTGCTCGGTGAAGTTAACTCAGACGCGCAGGTAGCACCGCAGCCCCGGAGGCACCGACTTCACCGGGGCTTTAAAGCAGGGGTGGGGAAGTTTTGCAGTTTTTTGGTCTTTGCAAGAAATGCAGAACTTCCTCTGTTGATTCGGGAGGAAGGTAGCCGGAACTACGAGACCAGATGCCTGCTGCACACAGGTGACTGGAAAATATTTTTCTATTCCTACTATTTCAAGCCACTTAACATCGGTGCTAGCCATCTCCTGAAGTAAATACATTCCAGGAACAACTTGAATTTGTCCACTCATTCATCCCAACACCTCATGACTCCTCTCAGGGAATGGAAAGACGGAGTAAAAAAAAAAAACAAAAACGAGCAGTTACAGAATTTTTATGATCACAGAGCATGTATTCGTGTGTGGAAAACAAAAAAAAAAGGAAGACATTTTAAAGCCGCAGGGAAAAACAAACTGGTCAAACTCCTTAAAGAGGAAGAAACAAAAAGCCACGCTGAAGGTAAGCTTCTTTTTGGGGTCAGTTGCTTTTTGAGGAAGTAAAAAAAAAAAAAATTAGCATTGCTAATAAGTAACTTCCTGCAACCTCGTGATCAAGGTGTACAAAGTAACCTCTGCTCCTAGGCAAACCAGGCTGTCTCCCCTTCCCTCAATTTGTGTAAAAGAAGTTGGACTGGAAAATGAAGCATTAAAAGGAACCCAGCAAAACGGAGAATTCAGAAACAGTCATGCTGCTTAAATAATACTTAATTTAAAATTATTTCATAAATTAACTTAATTAAAATTTTAGAAAAATCAGGAATACTGAATTGAAGCTCAGGGTTCCCAGATTTCAGAAGAGCCTCATGATAGGTATAAAATGTCTAGTTTACTAGAAGAAGGTGCAGGGTTTGGGCCACAGTCACTACTACCACCTTCTTTTTCCTCTTTACATGCCCTCTCTGGGATCCCGCAAGTGAACACAGTTTGGGCTTGAATTCCCAATGAGTGACTTTAGCACTATCAAAACCACCCTCCTTCAAAGTCCTTCCCAGCCTCAATGTGATCTTCACTCTTGAAGCACTGTATTACACATCTGTGGCTGTATCAGACAAAAGCCTGACCTGGCAGTGACTTGCGAAAAGCAGCAATCCCTGCGTGTTGAGCTCTTCTTGATTATCTGAAGACAAGAAGCAGTACTTTGAACCTGGGTGGAGTGATGGGAGGGCTGGGATTCGGAAGACGAGGGAAGAGGTGCCACAAATAGCATACTGCTGTTGACGGGAAACTTACATGCCAAGACAAAGCGTGGATATATGAAAACTTGCACGCCAAAGACTTAACTGCGTGCACTTGGGCACGCTAGTCTGACTTTTGAAGTTTTGATTTTCTTATACAGGTATAGCAGGTTGTTTTACCTTTGTAAAATCTATGTGCAGCAGTAAAAACGCTTACACATAGGCAACAACAGTGATAATGGCAATAAAGTAAACATACAAAAAAAAAGAGGGTGTGTAATCTTGCCAAGTAATTTAGTCAGCACCAGCAGAGACATTCTATTTGTACTCCTGATCTCTTACACTAATCGATTAATACAGAATTTTAGAGAGGAAAGAAAAACAGCTAGCTATCTTTTTTTCCTCAAAGAAGCCTACTATTACATTGTCTCTCCAACTGCCTAATTAGCATCCTCTCTTCTTTACACCTCCTCTTCTTTTAAACTAAGCATTGTTTGGGAATTTGGACTCTCATTTGCTCAGTAAGTCTAGAGCACCTGGCCCCCGATGCCCAGACTCCCTGTGGCATGCCAACCTACTTTCTGTAAGATCCCAATGTGCCTCCACAAAGGGAAAAAAAATAAAATGTATAAATGCACAAGGAGATATTCTATTATTCATGCATTACTGACATTTAGAATTTTATCTTCAAAGTAGTTGTCGACTAGATGAATAACTTGGGAAATAGTGTTAAGGCTCAAATCCTGGCACTGCATGCAGAGAGCCCTGCAGGTGTACAGCATCTCAGCTTCTCCACTGGTCCTCTGCCCTCTGAAGGCCTTGGCTGCAGAACAGTATCGTGCAGTTGGAATTAAACAGAGGCTTCTTGAACTTCAGGAATAGCATGGGAGGAAATCTCAGAGACTTGCTCCGAACAATCCTACTGGTTAGTAGAACACTAGCCTACTTGTTAGTCTAACGACACCCTTTTTCCTGAAAAGGAGATGTACTACATCCTATTTTAGGCACATCCAGGACGCTCCCTGAGCAAGAACAACAACAACAAGAAAAAATAGACACACAATAGAAATAGAACAAGCTATGCTGCTTGGCCCAAATAGCAAGAGCAGCTCCTGCTCGCTGCTGAAGCTTTGTAAATCCACCTTTCATTTCACAGGTGGGCGAGTTTTAATTCCAAGTCTCAGGTTCGCAGTTCTGGCCAAGCTCCCTGCTCCCCAGGCACACGGGGTGCTATTTGGATTCAGAAGGTTTTCACTTAGTAATTCAGCAGAAGTGAGCATTAATAATTTACTTCACAAAATGAGATGGACGGGAAGGAACGGAAAGGAGCGGACGAAGAAACTGGATGTGTTTTTTTGTGTGTGTGTTTTTTTTTTTTTCCCCTTGAGAAAGAAGACACACAGAACACAAAATACGCAGCCATGACAAGAATATATATATATAAGAGGGGGTGTAGGAGGGATTTTTGTTCTTTAAACGACCGAGCCTGTTCTCCTGAACCGCAGGGGCTGGAGGCGAGCGTGGCGGCACAGCCCTGCAGCTCACCCCCCAACGCCCGCTTCCGAAGAAATGAACTCATCGCCGGCGGCTCTGTCCTCCTGCACCCTTTCCTCACCCTAATCCCCACGTTTACAGCAAGCCCGAGACCCCCAGGCACCCCGACACCCACAAACACCGCGTTAGGTGCCCGGGGATTGAGGGGGGAACCAGGCTCTGCCCACCGCCGTGAGGCAGGGGAGCAGCCAGCATGGCAGCCCCGCGCCTCGCACCGCCTCACACCACCCCGGAGGGGTCCCGGTCGCCCCTTAGCTACTCACTCAGGAAAGAGCCGACGAGCAGCAGCTTCTCCAGCCCCCATGGGACCACCGGCTTCATCGCTGCTCTCCCACAATCAACGCTACAAGGAAACGGAAAGCAGCTCGTACCCCCTCCCCCCCGCCACGCCCAGCTCTTTTCCCGCTGAGCTGCTTGCTGGGTGGTGCCTGCTCCAGGGGAGGCGCCTGGCCCCAGAAAACTGGGGGGTCCCCTTGTTTGTGGAGACGCTGTGTGCAGGGTTTGGGGTGTGTAGGTGCAGGCTGAAGGCCTAAAAGCCGAGCCCCAGTGAGGGCAGGGCTCCAGGCTGCACCCCGTCTCCTCAGCGCTGCCCCGGGTGGGTGGGCAGAGGTGGCCCTGCCTGCTGAGCTGAGGGAAAGCCGAAAGGCAAAAGAGAAAGCAGCTGGCAGCTGCCCAAAAGCCATTGAGAAAACTCAAACAAACTTAACATTCCCCTTCATTCGTGGCTGGCCTTTCACACTGCGACGCGTTGCTAAGAAAGGGAAAATACCACAACAGTAAGTTTGGGAAACTTAAGTAAGCATCGGCACAGAAACCTGTTGCTCCAGCAGCAACCATGCTCCAGCTGCGTTCCCAGAGCTGTAAGCTGCTGTCAGAGTGACTATGTTAGCTTCCCTGCTGCTCTCACTCTCAGTGAATTGCCTTGGCTGAGGAGAACCCGGCAGCTGGCTGGCCCAGCCACACCTTTTGCAGCCTCGAGGCATGCTCAGTTTCCAGGAATTTTCTTCTAGGATTTTCTGTGAGCTCCCTTACCTCGTCACTGTGGCTCTAGCATGGGCTAGAGTGACACAGTGGGCTGAGCAATGCTGTCTGGGTCCTCACTAAATAATAGAATAACACTGAGTCCCTCTCCATAGATAGCTTGTACCAACGTGCTTATCTGCATGGCACAGAAGCGGCTCCAGACGGAGTCAGACCCACCCCAGAAATTACTTTTTCTCAGGGACAGGAACACACTGACCACTCTTTCTGTCCCTCAGTCCTCGCTCCTACTCTCAACCTCTGTCAAGGGCTGAAAAGCAGCTCCCTACTCAGTAAAGGCTCCGAGTTGCAGTGTTTACACCAGAAATCTCATATGGCCATCTTTCTGCAGTTTGCTGGTCACCAAACAGCTTCCTGCTGCTCACTACCCTCCCTGTCACATAAAATGCCCTCCCAAAATTGCAGTGACTTTGGGTGAAACCTTATTGCCTGGGAGGATGCTGCCTCCCACCTTGCCCTACAGCGTTCCTGTAGGTTTTTGAGATCTTCTGGGCTAGGAGAGAGAAATCTGAAGGGGGAGCAGACACTTTTACTTCGATAATTTTAGTCTGGAAGGAACCGCAGGAGGTCACCCACGCACACCGAAAGCAGGGCTGACTTCTTCCTGCTGAAGCCGCTCCACTTTGTAGAGAGCAACTGGGGCTTCATGGCACAGAGAAAGTGAGAGAGAAACATCCGCCCAGTGGCTGGGACCCTCCCTTAGGCTCATCCAGTTTGGGGAGAAAAAAGGGATACGTGGCAAGGATGCAGTGTCCTCCCTTCTTGTGCATGCCTATGTAGTGATGCTAGGTAGAAGGTCTAAAAAGCGCTCATCGAAGACTCATTTTTTTCTCCTTTCCTGAGAATCCAGTTTGACTCATCCATGCTTTCACTCCTGCACTTGCCAAATCCATCTTCAACATTTTTCTCCTATTCTATCATAGTCTGGACACTCTTCTGAAACTCAAGTTTGAATCACTTCTTGCTGGGCTAACTCAACCTGGTTCCTCTGTCACTCCAGGGAACAGTGCACAGGAGAAGCCTGGGTGCTTTATCCTGGCACTATGGTGTCTGCCCCAGGGACAAAGGACAGAAAATACAGGAGTTGTGATACCACATATTCCAGCTGTGGAGTGGATCCAGCCGTAGCATACTACCGTGAGCTAAGCCATGCGAGTATTTCATTCCCTCCCTCGAATGCAGAGGCTACAGTAACTGGTTTTAAATGTTCATCATTTGCTTACATCCCACTTGGTTTCCCCTGTGGTCCCATTCTACTGCCCAGCTGCACTGTTTCCTTTACCAAGTAATAGCTCTCAAAGTGAATCTTCCCATGATCAGATTTTCTCTCGGCAGCTGGGGGTATCACAGTGCTTGTATGTTGCTGCCAGCTGTTGCTTTGTAGGTGGGGAATTGGCATTTTCCACTTTTAGCATTTGCTTGAATGTGCAGACAGCACATTTTCCAGATTTTTAATGAAAAGAATTTGTACATAAAATCACATTACTTTGTTGACTGACTCAAGTGAATCACAACATGCTTCAATCTAGAGCGGACCGAAAGTCTTTCCAACAGTGTAGAAGTCCCCACGGCTATTATAACCACTGTCACCGGGAAGCGAAATAGGAAGTAACAACAATACCTTTCTGAACTAATATTACTGTAGTTAAAAGTAGTTAAAAATAATTAAATTCACAAAATTAAAATAAATAAATAAATAAATAAATAAATAAATATAAAAAAACAGTTTATACTAAAATAGCTTTACTGGTAAAAGCATTTTAAGCACAGAGGAACTGAGCGGTTTTCTGTGTTTGCATGAGGGACCATTGCAGTATGCTGACACAATCAAAAGTTTCCTGAATTTACTAAATCTGAGATTACAGAAAGAAAAAAAAAAAAAAAAAACACAGCTGCTAAAGCAACAGAATTTTCAATTCTATGAAGATGTGTTTTTTTTTAGCATACCAGGATGTTGTTTAACAACTCTGCAAATGCGCGTAGTAGTGGAAAAAAAAAATCAGATCTGCACATCTTGACTGCAAGGTTTGCTTTACTCGAAGGCTGTAAAGCCAATGCCTACTTTATGATACGTGGCTTTTCAAAACAGCCTTAGGGCTTGGCAAAGAGTAACATTTACATCCTACCACAAAGAGCAGAGCTTATTACCCTGTTTTTAAATTAAAAAATAATAATTAAAATAATTAAAAAATAATAATTAAAATAATTAAAAATAATTAAAAAATAATAAATTAAAAATAATAATTAAAAAAAAAAAAAAGAAAGTGCTCACAGATTTTCTTTAGGTGCTCCTTTTTGGTTCATTTTGGCACATCCACCATTTGCACCAGGAAGTTATCATCGATACACTGAAGGAACCTCCTGGACTGCGGATGGCTGGCTGAGCAGGCCCTCCAGCAAATGTCAGGGTAATTAAAATCCCCCACAATAACCAGGGCCTGTGTTCGCGAGGCTGCTCTCAGCTGCCTGTAGAAGGCCTTATCAGCTTCCTCATCCTGATCTCATGGCCTGTAGCAGACACCCACAACAGTACGCCCCATGCCAGCCTGCCCCTAAATTCTCACCCACAGACTCTCACCTCGCTCCTCATCCACCCCTGTACATGTACTCAATACAATGTAGATGCTCTTTCACGTAAAGAGCATCTGGCCTGTCTTTCCTGAGCAGGACATACCCATCCATGACCACATTCCACATGGGAGCTGTCCCACCATGTCTCAGGACAACTGGAAAGAAACAGCAATGCAATAGGAGAACAGCCAGATACAAGGCTCTGCTACAAGCCTTCCTGGCACTGGCATATTCTGAGACCTTGTAACTAATCCGTGTCCCCAGGGAGAGCCCGGGAGGCAGGGCTAGGTGACAAGAATAAAGCCCTGTCTGTCGCTTGCTGCAACCAGTCTCACTAGCTGATTTCTGAGGCACTAATTTTGCCTTCAGGAAAGGGAAGTCGGAAGGAAAGGGGTGTCAGCGTCTTTTTCAACCAAAATATCAGTGAAGCCCTCTGCTGACACAGACTTTGTCTAATGGCCAAACAAGAGCAGAGGTGATTGCACCTGCCCCCTTTTTTTCCCAAAAGAAACAGCCTAGTTGATCATTGACAGAGGCAAGCCGATTGACCAGCCCACCACATCTCTTTTTTCCGTGTACAACCCTCATACTTGTAGTGGACTAACACGAAGATGGTTGAGGATCTGAAGAGAAAACCCCTCTTCGTTCTTGCTGTCATCTTGCTGCTTAGTTCAGCACAAGCAGGTAAGAAAGACATGAGTGCTTGGCAAGGGATTTAAGGCTTTACGTAGAAGGGCCTGATTTCAATTCTGAACAGGGCCCGTGTTTCAAGAGGTCCTTCCTATAATCTAGTTAGATGCCACGAGAATGGGTCCTTTCTTTTCCTATGCTTTGATCGGAGCTGTCTCACCAATTTCACTCCACTAACTTCATTTAAAAGAATGATCCAGGATTGCTCTGAAGTGTGAGGAGGTGCAAAACAGACCACTTGACCTCTGGACATGGCACCTCCTCCTTTGCAAGCTGAGCAAGCAGAATATGCAGGAGATGAAAGAAAATAAACAGAGGCTGCACTTAGCATTTCTCTGGTTAGTTGTGATCTTTTTTTACTCACAACCCCCCTCGCCTGACGCCATTCTGGACATGCACCATGCTTTCACTGAGTGCACCCTTTCAGGAGAAGCTGGCTCATGAGCAGCAGTATTTCTCAACTGATTTCAGAGAACAACTCTTTCCCTTTTCCCTTCAGTCCCCAGGAACACCTAAATAAACAACAGCAAGGGACAGCCACATCCCACGAGGGGAAATCGGGAGTGTTGGATTTCATTTCTTTGTGCTGGACCTTAGGCCATGTTCCACCCAGATGCTGTAGAATATCTTCTGTGGGAACAGGCAGTGGCTAGGAAGCTGATTGTTTATTTTTATTATTATTTTCTATTTATTTATTTAATTTTACATGCGGATTTGAGGCTGCTCCACTTCCTCCAATCCAGAAAAGGGAAGGGGCATGCGTTGTCATTTCAGCATGATGCCAGTTCATAGAGTAAACATTTTTTAGATCAGAAGGGATCATTTAATCAATTGTTTGGCTTCCTGCTAATCATGGGTTAATAAGTTTCATCCCGTTAGTCCTTCAGGCATTCCAATATCTTGCCTTCTACAACCCCTCCAGAATAGCAGCCAGTCCCCTGAAATGCCAAATGATAGATAATGCAGCTCTTCGCTGGGTAACTTGTGCCACTGCCTAGCCATACATACTGCTCTGCATCTCCTTGCTTCATTTATAGTCAAAATTTGCCCAATTTTGTACTATCTACTGGTTTGAGGTGTTGTTATTTTGTCTTGTGTTTCATTTTTTTTTTCTATCCAGATGAAAGTCCTGTCCAGCTGCTGCCTTTTCCTTCCCATAAAACATTTTCATCCTGTAAATTGATTGTCACTGACAGGTTTTGTCACCAGCATTCTCATATTTATTTCTGCATTTTTGATA